TTTTTTTTTTTTTTTTTTGAGACAGAGTCTCACTTGGTTACCCTTAATAGAGTACCTTGGCATCTTAGCTCACAGCAACCTCATACTCTTGGGTTTTAAGTGATTCTCTTGCCACAGCTTCCCAAATAGCTGGGACTACAGGCGCCACAATGCCTGGCTATTTTCTAGAGACAAGGTCTTGCCCTGGCTCAGGCTGGTCTTGAACCTGTGAGCTCAGGCAGTTCACCCATCTTGGCCTCCCAAGTGCTAGGATTACAGGAGTGAGCCACTGTGCCCAGCCTCCTTCTTTTTCAAGATTGTTTTAGTTAGGGAGACGGAGCCTCCAGTAGGTGGTGCCATGAGCTGCAACCAAATGGGCTGGAAATAAAAGTAAAGCGCTCTGGAGCCACATGGATGGAGCTGCCAGGGTGGTGGCTCCTGGAGCAGGATGCAACTGCCTGTAATTAAATAGCATTATTCTTTAAGAAAAAAAAAAAGATTGTTTTAGTTATCCAGGGTCACTTTCAATTCTATATGTGGATGAATATATTTTAGAATGAGTTTTCCCATTTTCAAAAAAAATGGCTGTTGGAATTTTGGTAGGATTTAACATTTTAATGATGGTTGCCCCTATTGTGAGATTATAGGGTATTTCCCGCTTCTCTTTCATACTTTTTTTTTAGAGACAGAGTCTTACTATGTTGCCCTCAGTAGAGTGCCATGGCATCACAGCTTGCAGCAACCTCAGACTCTTGGGCTTAAGTGATTCTCTTACCTCAGCCTCCCAAGGCACCCACCATAGGGCCATTTTTGTTGTTGTTGTAGTTGTCGTTGTTTAGCTGGCCTGGGCTGGGTTCGAACTTGCCAGTCTGGGTGTCTGTGGCTGTTGCTCTATCTGCTGAACTACAAGCACTACCCTTTTTTATACTTTCTGTTTTATCTATAATGTATATGTATTATTTCTTTTCTAATCAGGTGGATGGAGCTGACATTAAAGGGAAAGTTTTTGAGTGATATTTTTTATTAACCAGCAAAAATACAATTATTAGTATCTGATATCAGAATTATACTGCTATTGCTTGAAAGAATAGAATGTTTTGGTTTGGTTATGTTGTCTTATATAAAATAACAGGCCACACATATTTAATCAGCTGTCTCAGGAGTATTTTGCACCTTCTGAACTTTTCAGCAAAGTAGAGGTGTCATTCCTACATACACCACCTTTGATCTCATGTGGCATGTGCTTTTGGAGAAAAAAAAAGATGCTAAGTTTGGTAGTTCATGCTTATAATCCCAGCAACTAGGAAGGCTAAAATGGGAGGATTGTTTGAGGCCAGGAGTTTGAGACCACCCTGGAAGGCATAGCAAGATACCCCCTAACCCCTTCTCTACAAAAAAAAAAAAAATTAGGTGGACAAGATGACACATGCCTATGTCACCTTGGCATGTGACAAGATCCTCCTGTGAGGCAGGAGGATCTCTGAAACCTAAGAATTCTAGGTTACAGTGAACTATACTTGTACCTCTGCATTCTTACCTACGCAACAGAGCAAGACCCTATCTTTTTTTTTTTTTTTTT